GGGCTTTTAAGCATATGTTGATATCATTATCTTTTTTCAATAACTTAGGGATTCTATCCACTGTCGTGTAAGTCATGATGAGGGTGGTAGGATTTCCCGTCATGTATATGTCTTGCGTGTACCACTTAACTTTGCCCTTTGAACTACCGTGTCGTGCCGAGGTGTCTGGATCATCACCGAGTGCATCGTCAAACAAACTGTACAAGGATTAAAACACTTCAAACCTCCCCACGTATCTGGACAACCCAAGACAGACAAGTGCAAATGATGGTGGTCATAATGAGGGGTTTGTGTTGTTTTAAAACACATAGTTCGTGTCACTGAGTGTCACCAACTTTGACCATACATCAGATAAGAAAATATGGACTATATTGGGTCAGTATCCTGTCAATTTCAACTCTTTTTTATGTTCCTGTGTTTTCTTTGAATATTTGTCACAATCAAGGTTGTGTGTTTTTTATGATCAAATACGCATTGTGTGATACGATGAGCGGCGATGTCTCGAGTTATTCAACTATTGTGAAAGTAATACCCACATTTAACGCTGAGACCTGACGTCTCCAGCGAACATAACACAGCCTGTGGGCAAGGACATTTGACCGTTGTGTACGAACCCAACCACATTTCAACCTCAGTATTTAATTCATTACGGCGTGGTACAGTTCTCACAAGGTCTCTTGCTACCGTCACTGGGCGGAGCGTTCATGACAGGTGGGATCATACCAGTACACGCTTCACGGAGACAGGGGACCAATCGATTGTTGTACGAAGAACTCTAACTCGTGGCGAGGCAGCTACTAACAGGCAGCGGGATATTGTCACAGTTAAATACAGAGAAAATAGAATAATCAATTGAAACACAGTCGCACACGTGGGTGAAATGCCTTGAATTGCACACGGATAAGCGAATATTTTCTACAAGTGCCACTTGGAATATTGTGTATTACCATTGACATAAACTATCCGTACAGTCTCGAAACGAGTATAGTTAGTGTGGTTGATAACTCACACGTTTGGTTTGAACGTATATACGAGGTCGCTAGTTTCATAAAATCAACGGACTGTGCAAGAGATATCAGCATTTGTTCACGGTTGAAGGCAATTAAGGTGAGCAATTTTGATTCTTATCTTATCTATCTACATTTGATTGTGTTTGTTTTCGGTGACTTGTTTAAGTATTGTGATTTACTGTAATATGTAATCGTTCACCGTTAGACAACTAAACATTGTTTTCACAGCGGTATACATCACAGCCAGAATCGACCAATGTTTGTCTCAGTATGCTAAATAAGAAAAACTCATTTCGAGCAGAAAACCCTTTTTGTGAGGTTGTTAATTGTTATTTTGTTGGATTAGTTTTGTAGATAATTTCCCGACAAAGTGTCACGATAATCAGCAGTATAGCCTGGCGGGTAACCATAAATCTCCACACTACAGTGACCTCCGTCGGTGAATTGATATGCGTGTTCATACCAGCAGTCACGCTGACAAGTTATGTTTGTCCTGTTTTCCCTCGGCACTGAACCCATTAGTCGCGCTGATTGCAGCCAACTACAACGAGGGCTCGTCGAGAACGCGAGATATTGGGCCACGTGTTTTTTTACAGCGACCCTAGAAGCAGCGTCAATAATGAAAACATATACATCAATCTTGTCAGCAAAACTTAAATAAATATCATCGAGGCCTTGCACATTACTTGTATTGCATTACAAAACATTCAAAATATATTATCGCCAGCAAGGGCCACCAAAACCCACAGTAAAAGCGAAAATCTGCCGGCAGAATTTATCGCGATTTTCTTGTTTAAAATGTGCAATAGAAATGGTTGGTTGTGTTCATAACAGGCCTAGTTTATTTATTGACTGCAGTAATACCCATATACATACACAACGCATGCCATGTAATCGACGTACACCGAGTATTGCAATAAATCAGATTCACTGTAGATGGCGATAGGTTCATTTTCGACCCGCAGAGTCTTGAACTTGAACTTTGTTGAAAATAATTCTTAACTTTTTCGTGCCTATCATGTATTGTTTTTATTTTCGTAATAATGTAATTTAAATGAATAACAAAGGTACAAGGGCAAGGAGTAAAATGTAATCAGCTACTTTATTCGTCCGTAATTTGTACAAAGATCTTATTTTTGTGTAAGCGTATAAAGATTTTCCACTTTAAATGTCGTAATTCGGACGCAATTTCCAATTTTGATTCTTAAACACAAATTATCAAACATATAAAAATGTAATTAGGAATTTTGTTTATCTGTAAGGTGTAAAAACCTATTTTTTTTACTGTAAATGAAATTTTCTTTTTATTTCCTGTAAAAACGTAAAATGCCTTTTTTATTTCCTGTAACCTGTACCAGGCATCCCCCTTGCCCCCTCACTTCACGCAAAATTTGGAATTTGCCTTTCAATGGCGAGTTCCATTGAAGTACCCCTTATTTTTCAACCGACCCGCATCTACGCTCACTCCTACTTAAGTCCACATTCGAACAATGTATTATTTTGGTTACCTATAATGGCAGACAGTATAATTAATGTTTAAGTTGTTAGCCTCTGTTTTCTTGAACACTTGGCTCACGTTTCGGAGATTCACTGAGTGATGGCCAATGATGAGAATAATGGCGGCCTGTGATGAGAATAGCGTACAAAAGGTCAGCTACTAACACGCTGGATATCTGATATGTACATAATAAGCGCAATACATAAGTAGGTACACCTACAACAAATGCAACCATCGATATCGACTGAGTTTCGTGCACGTATATTAATATTTATTTTTATTTGCTTTTCTTTGATGTTTACAATTTGTTTATGTATACATATCTTGAACAACGTTTATTGGTTAAAAACTATGATTTCAAATGCTTAATTTAATGCTTGGTATGGGTATAATGGCCACCATGTCTACCTGACACCGTGACCAGGGAACATGATCAAATGTTCAAATTATGGCGAGTCAATAACAGAGTCAGCATTTTAATTTTGATTGCGGGTGACAGTACCCCTGTCACCTGTGTCGTCACAAGCACACCAATGCTTTAATATTATAAGTTGTGAATTACCCAACGCCCAATATAACATTAACAATAATTTATCAATCATATAAATTAGACAAAATAACATGAAGAAGCCTTCACTCTCATCCACATAAACCACAATATTAATATCAAGGCATATCTGCAAGCTTGTTTTCTGTTATTATCATAATTTTTCTGTTATTATTATTATTATTATTATTATTATTATTATTATTATTATTATTATTATTATTATTATTATTATTATTATTATTATTATTATTATTATTATTATTATTATTATTATTATTATTATTATTATTATTATTATTATTATTATAAATAATAAAGATATACTCCGGCGTCTGTTCTATACATCACAATTCGACAATGTTCATTCATCCAAACTTTTATCACAATTCGACATATCCATTCATCCAAACTTTTATCACAATTCGATATATCCATTCGTCCAAACTTTTATCACAATTCGACATATCCATTCGTCCAAACTTTTATCACAATTCGACATATCCATTCATCCAAACTTTTATCACAATTCGATATATCCATTCGTCCAAACTTTTATCACAATTCGATATATCCATTCATCCAAACTTTTATCACAATTCGACATTTTCTTTCGTCCAAACTTATCACAATTCGACATATCCATTCGTCCAAACTTTTATCACAGTTGGACATATCCATTCGTCCAAACTTTTATCACAATTTGACATTTTCTTTCGTCCAAACTTATCACAATTCGACATTTCCATTCATCCAAACTTTTATCACAATTCGACATATCCATTCGTCCAAACTTTTATCACAATTCGACATATCCATTCATCCAAACTTTTATCACAATTCGATATATCCATTCGTCCAAACTTTTATCACAATTCGATATATCCATTCATCCAAACTTTTATCACAATTCGACATTTTCTTTCGTCCAAACTTATCACAATTCGACATATCCATTCGTCCAAACTTTTATCACAGTTGGACATATCCATTCGTCCAAACTTTTATCACAATTTGACATTTTCTTTCGTCCAAACTTATCACAATTCGACATTTCCATTCATCCAAACTTTTATCACAATTCGATATATCCATTCGTCCAAACTTTTATCACAATTCGACATATCCATTCATCCAAACTTTTAAACGAAATGTAGTTATATTATCTCACGCCATGTAAAAACCTTTCTTGGTAACTTTATAAAATTGATGCATAGTGTTGTCCAGATGTGGGTGACAGTTCTACATATTCGTTTCCGCTGTTTGGTTGTCGTGGTATAACGCATACTTGGATTTTGACAAACTCAGACATTTGCTGTCATGATTACAATCGGCGTACGCATCAAAACACAAACATGGAATGCAAGGCGAAACCCGACCCCACGCTGCGACGCACCTTGAATATTAGGCTACCACCCCTCTCGGATAAATAGAAAGTACCTATACTTCCGTGCAGTTATACAAGTTTATCAACTAAACGTCTCGCGTGAACAGCACAGTAATTCGTATTCTGCACCGACAAAATGGTATCTGTGAAGTAAGGACCATGATAACAAACTGTGATTTGAAATTCGCCGTGTCTATTTGCAAGAATCAGTGAACGCCACATATACGCACGGAGCAGGACTTATGTGTGTCGCCTGTGTATCTCATTAACGGGTTGGGGCAGGATATGAAAAGAATATATAGCCTCGTTCCCCCCCCCCCGATAGGATTTATGGAAGCTGAGTATTCATAGCTGCGAACGTGCTCATTCCTTGTCCACTTGCCCGAACTGTCAAGGGTGTTAAGGGACAACGCACTGGCTGTACGGGTGTTTAAATGCCTTTACATGGTCTCTCGCCATGCTTCAATGACTATCGATTATATCGAGTGTTACACGTGACCCCTCGATAATTTATTAATAGTTGTTAAACAACTTTTTATTTTAATTAAGACAGACACTATGTGGAAATCCAGCTATATCATACTGGTGTGTTTGGTGACGACAATATCCAGTGAACAAAATCAGGTAGGTGAACCTAGACTGTTGTACCAAGTGTCTTTCAAGCCAGAGTATATTAGTTACATTATTTACTATGACCTGATATATAAGCCGTACAACACCGATTGCTATTAAAAGATACATACACTTATAAACATAGCCGCTGGCGGTATTGTGAAACTGACGTCTAAAATGGGTAGGTTCAGTGGCGCTGGACCGTCTCTATCCCCCGTCTCAGCTAAACACCAAACCAATGTTATACAATACAGAAAAAGTTCAAGCAGGTCCATCTCTCATGTTAGTATAAATACGCACCTAACACCCAGTGTAAACCAACTACAAGTGAATATACCTTGTCAGTTTGTTCTATTACAAAGAAAAGTATTGGATTTTTCTTTGATTGTTACCGCGTATATACTGCAGTGTTAAAAGAAAACACCACTTGTAGGGAAAATGATTGTTGAAACTTCACGACTTGTTTGACCATGATTCTATAACATCACATGGTACGTCTTCGACTTCGTCGTCATATCGCTCGTAAGAAGCTTTGAACTTTAAACACATTGGATCATTGACTTATAAAGAACCTGTCCTATGTCCTGATGCTGGCAGCGTTCATATTATGTATTGCGCTTACACACATACATACATATCTATCAAATATAAATAGTCAGTTACGAAAATGTTATGTAATTGCTACTGTCATAATTCGAGTTTTGCCTCGACGAGAAGTGCTCTCAGGAAAAGCTCATTGTCAATGGAAATCAAACAATTTACAAAAGAACGTTTTATATTAACCTGACCGTTTCAATAGTACTATTGTAAATCACTGATCAATTGGTTTCTTATTTCATTGTGAGTACGTAGTGTATCTATTGCTCAGTAAAAATGTTTTATACAATAAAAATGACACTGAGGTCAAGTTTTATATATAATACATATATAGTTCATGAAGGATATATGAATCGTGCGACACGTGTTTAGATCTGTGGCATAGTTCTGGCATTCGTTCGCTGAGCCGTATGCATATTATAAATTAGTTATGCTGTCCTTCCAGCTGTTAATATCTCTGCAGTTTTTCTATAGACGAGGATTGTATGGTTACCACGCCTTCAAATTGAAACAATCTAACAGGGTTGGTCAAGTAAAAAGGTTAGCCTAGGTTGCTCGGTTAACAGGTCGAAGCAACTCCCTGAAGCAGGAAATATATACTATGTTGTATATGGGTGGTCATTACAGCCAAGAAACCGCCTGTTGTTTCAATCATGATCAAAATCGAGGGCGAAATTATGTGTCCTGATGTCCATTTTTGTTATCAGGAACCGGAAGATATATACTAGTTGTAATAAGGTCATTGCGTTAGTCACGGTCTATAATTAAGTGGATAGTTGTATGTATATACACTTAAAAAACTAATGTGTGACAGAGTTCGATCCGACAACTCGTTTTTCATAGATAGTGTGTATTTAATAACCCTCTGCATTAGAGTCGAAGGTCCTCATACTTGATACCAAAGGAATATTTTTTGCCATGTAGCGACGTCAATTGTCGCCCAAGTAGACACTCCAAAATGGCGACGTTCGCAATATGAGAGTCGGCTCGTCCAGGTTTGTATTAAGGTGTGTGGAAAATAGGTCAGAATTATAGTCACGTCAACATTTTTTATATGAGAAAATTGAGGGTTAAAATCTATCAAATAAGTAAAAGTATATAAATAATTATAATAGTTATCACACCGTTTGATTCGTTGATTTTGCTGATTTTAAAATATACTGGAATTGATTGCAAGACGGAAGTGTCTATCAACAATTTGTTGAATACATAGACCTCATGTCCGTAACGCAATGCACATATGCCTAGTGAATTAGTTAAAATTATGGTATTCCCCATGGATATTAAATTCAACTTAGTGAAATCATGTGTAGTAGAAATAGAAGTCTCACTGGGACTGTTGATGTCGTTATTGGTGTCAAGGAATGAGTTATGATATATGGTATATCGTAGGTTAGGAACCGAGATATCGAATTACGTAATTCTGCGTTGTTAACGTCTGAACCAATGTTCGATAGACTAACCCATAATGCGCCTTTAGTCAGGGAGCATGACCCGAGTTCAGGTCACACTGAATTAAAATCATATAACAAACAAAACCACACATAAACAGTTCTAACAATATATATCGCGCAATTATAACGCACGTTGTCAATTTTTTTTTTATACATGAGTCTGTTTTGCGGAATTCTGATTATTTATTGTTGTTTACCAGGCAATTTCAGCTGACTTCTACAGCTATGAACGCAGCGACCGTGTAATCCGAGGTGGTCAAAGTGCGGATATAACTCGGCAAACCCGAACAATCACTGTTTGACGGCAGCTATGATTTAAAGCTATGTGTGCTACTTAAAATAGTACGCCATAAACATAAGTGGTACCCATATGATGTGAGCTTAGTCATCGTAGTAAAGAGTGGTGTCCCAACCCTTTACATGTTACTATAATTCTCACGTCAGAAGACTTAAAGATACCCCATTACAGGTTATGTGTGGAAATACTAAGTATTTGACATTGTTTACGCATCATTTCCGCCACTTGACGCACTGGCGAGCAAACATACAAGACTCCGTGGGTCATACCAATTTAAAGTATTTTTCTACTTCAAATATATTTTCATGGGGAAGCTGTGTTACTTTATTGTTTTCCTGTAATTGACGTTTTATATCTTCTTTTCAATGTTTCCTGAATTCCTGGAATTATATCAGATATAACACCCAATGTTATAAATAGACAGCTTACACAAATATTAAAATACATTATGCATCTTACATAATCCCCGGATATATAAATACATGTATATATTTCCACGTGTCATATTTGGGTGCATACGGGCTCTTCATATTTCCTTGTATTGCGGTTGAAGGGGTTCAACGTATCCTACTGGGTACATACGGGCTCTTTATATTTTCTTGTATTGCGGTTGATTCTTTACATTGCTGTAGACCAGAGGAACGTATCGTAGTCAGAGGGTGGATGTTTACGAGTACTTCATTTCTCTTTACATTTCTGTTGATAAGAGAAAGTTGTGCTGCAACTAATTGAATTCATTCCTCCAATGGAACAAATAACAACTTAACGATAATCCACCACTTACCACGAACACCGAAACAGCTTGTTAAAATATGTTTGTTTAAAGCTGGAAACCTACACATGCGTTTGTAGAATATTAGTTCTTTCAGTAGCTAGTAGTTTATAGAAATATAGTTCTATGGTATTAGTAAACGATATTTTGTTGTATGTTACAATGCCGTATTTTGGGGAAATGGTTAAGTATTTGTCACCTCAATAACACCTCAAGGACACACTCAAAACCCAAAAATGTTATTTCACTTTATTCCACCAACGATTTTAGAAATACGGCACATTATTCTCATAGGAATAGGTGCAGTAATATAGTGTCTTGGCGTAAGGTAGCATTTACTATCCATACAATACTCCATATTTATGTTAAAGCCGTTTAGTGGACTCGGAGCACATACATACATACATACATGGTGGTCGCATATGTATTGAGTATTCACACGAAACCAATCAATTTTAGCTTACACACATGGATTACATAGAGATGGGAATTTTAACATTTGATGTTGAGATTGCGATAATTGTCTGGTAACCTCATACATCGAATGTCTGAAAACACTGTGCGGAGTGTAGAGTAGATTCAAGTAGCCTGGGCGGTGACATACTTGTCTGAGTAGACTATTCATAAATTATTTGCGGGCGGTGCGCGTAATATTCTGTCACCAGCTTACAGCGTGTTCGAAGCAGGATCCAGAGTTGGTTCACTATCACGGTTATTCTTTGAAGTAACCGTGATGCCATGCATTTTCTTGACTCGTTCCTACTTATCTGCCAAGCAATGGTGTGATAAATACATACTTATGAACAAGACAAGACAAAATGGGCAAAAATACTACGTGACAGTATATTATGGCATTACTTTATGTTTTTGTATTTTGTCGTATTTTGAGTTGATTCCGGGTCACGTGTTATTGAGGAAATGAGAGGTGGATGAGATAATTGTAAATTGTCATATTTCGGTAAATCGTGCTCCAGTGACGTCACCACACAGAGTATAATCCCGTATATAGGTATTCGTGCCTCACATCACGATATTAATTGGTTTTTAATGATGCCTTCAATTAAAATTGTGAAAACAAAATTAGACATTTTTGAGGAGAAGGCTTACATTCGTTATTCATTTTCAAACCAATTAAGATGGCATTTGAATATACACATTGTATATATTGTTCGTTAGCTTAAAATGTGAATTGTATCGTTGTTTTATTTCAATGTCTGAACAATTAATTTTCTTGTAGTGCTCACAAATCTTCTTTTTTACGTTTATCTCTGAAAATGACACTAAAACCAAACAGTAGGTGTGATGAACAGCGAATGACCAACGAAGCTTGAACTTCATTCTTAGTAGCGAGTCAGTACGCGTTTTCAAAACGCATGTTTCATATAAACAATTTTCGCGACAAGCAACTGGAAGTCATCAAAACATCTGTTTTGTTGATTATTCTTTGCAGTTCGAGTAAAGAGGAATTATATTCTTATCACGCAGACGCGTGCATTGTGGTGAAAACGCTCAACGTTGTTTATTTTCATATACACACCATACGCTAAACATTGTGTAACTTGAATACAAACACAATTCAGAAACTTGAAGTAATTACTCTCAGTGCTTCAAAGGCATTCTTTTCATCTTTATAAATATTTATAAATTTCACAATTCAAAGTGAAACAAGAGGTTTCATTTGGTCGACTGAATAAAACTGGAGCGTTTTCGAATGACGTCGTTGGACACTGTACTCGTTGATTGGTTCGTTGGTTTCAACTGGCCATACAAATTTGTAAAAATGTATTAGTAAAAAGATAATGGGAGTAGTGAAACTTCACGACATTGTTATGACTAGCGGATGTGTTGTGATTTAAGTTGGAAAAACTGTAATTATGTTTGTTATTACTAT